ATGACCACATCTTTCAAAATTCATTAAACATTTTGTCACTCAGCCTCACCACCACCAAAATTTGTTTAAAGTCAGTTTTACATGAGAAAAAGTCATTGCTGTTAATATAGAAAATGACAAGGGGAATTGGTTCAAATGGTAGAGTGCTCGCTTAGCATGTGAGTAGTAGTGAGATCGTTATCCGTTATCTATTATTCTCCATAGCAATTCAGTCTTGATGGTCTAGTGGCTACGATTCAACTGTGGCCCAGGTCTGATTCCCAGTCAGGGAATGGGACTGTGGGCTATTCCCCAGTAAATTTAATCCCGGGCAACTGTGGTTCAGTGGGTAGAGCAGTTGTCTCCCAACCAGAAAACTGGAGATTCAAATCACAGTGCCACTACATGTTGAAGTGTCCTTGGGCAAGACACTGAACCCAAAGTTGCCCCCAATGGTTAGAGCCATCGGTGTGAGTTGGCACCGCAGATGGTTGCCTCAGTTCTATACTGGAAACAAATTCCTTCTATGTGTAACATACTTGGCCAAAGAAAGTGATTATTATTATGACTGACCTTTATCCTTTAAGTATGTGTGGTTGTGTTACATCATGCTGACATCACAAATCAGCAATTCTGTTATGACTTTCAGTTATGAAGGGTTAAATAATAGTCTCACTAATGTATAGATATACATTATACAGGATGATATTCTGTTCATCCTTTCGCTGAACACAACAAGAAAAACAGCTCTGAAAATCTGTGGTCACAGTAACTCTAATTCCATTAGCAGGAAAAAACACCTGCTCATTGTTATTGATTTGAGCTTTTGTTTATTGCTGGAAACAAAGACTGACTGTTGAACTGTCTGAGCGTGACCAACCTGAGCATGAGATAAGTGGCTTCCAGAACCACTGGATTAGCTCTAGCTCTAGCTCCAACTAAATGTCAGCAGTTATGTAAAAGAGCAAAACAAGCAAGGCATGTCACTGTGTTTTACAGGCTTAAGTACAGAGACAGCCACCTTAACAAGGCTCTGCAGTTGGGTGGCGTTTAAACATTCTCGGTGATCTAAATCATCAATGGTAAAACTCAGATGTTGGTGTAAGTCACAAATATTTTGTTTAATTTTTAACAGGCACAATAATTTTCAACAACCACTGGGCATTGTATTTTTCAGAAAATGTTACTCTAACAAGAGAAAATATTCAATTTGTTAGGGACTATATTCAGCAGTAGATTAATATACATGTGGTGTAATAGTGAGTATTTACTACTATACCTGAGTTACTACTACGGTGCCTAAAGGAACGTGTTACGCAGTGAAACAGTGTTGTTCAGTAATATGTTTTTAAGTCAGTGTTGCCATGGTTAGCGCTGTCACCTTATAGCAAAAAGGCTCTGGGTTCAAGCCCTGGCCGACCCAGGGCCACTCTGTGCGCAGTTGTATGTTCTCCCTGTGCCTGCGTGGGTTCTCGCCGGGTACTCCAGCTTACTGCCACAGTCCAAAAACATGCAGCTTAGGGTGACTGGTGACTCCAAATTGCCCCTAGGAGTGAGTGTGTGTGGTTGTCTATCTCCAAGTGTCAGCCCTGTGACAGACTGGCGACCTGTCCAGGGTGTGCCCTTCATATATGGTAGTTAAAATTACCTTTATCAGCTGCAACATTAAATGTGATGTACAAAATATCACATCAATTATAATCGAATGATGTAGATCAATGTAAACTGTGCCATTTTGCATAATGAGTACTTTTAGTACTTTAAGTGTATTTACCAGTGTACTTTTACTTAACATTTTGAATGTGGGACTTTTACTTGTAACAGAGTCCGTGCAGATTCTCAGTCATCCAGGTCATAGTAAGCTGAAAAACCTATAAAAATATCAACTGGACTTAGATTTCTAGGTCGAAGACGTTTCACCTCTCATCCAAGAGGCTTCATCAGTTCTGACTGACTGGTGTTGAGCCGGAGATATTTATCCCCCTCCGTGGTGCTTCAGTCCTTTGAAGGCCAATGTCCCCTAATGACTGAGTCGTTATAGCCCAGTATCGGTCGTTACCCGTCTTTGAATCCTCCTCTGTGGACTGAAGCCTATTGTCCTGGTGGTCATGTTTGGGCAGAGATCTCAAAACAGGATTGTAGATGGATGGCAAGTTGTGTCTTAGTCCACCACCCCTATTTAGTGAGAAGTGTTCTATTTTTACAAAAATAGCTTCCTTAACTCCTCTCTCAAACCAGCGATGTTCTCTGGAGAGGATCTGGACTTCACTGTCCTCAAAAGAATGTCCTTTGTCCTTCAGGTGGAGGTGGACTGCTGACTCTGGTCCACTGGGGTTGGCCCTCAGGCAGCTGGAAGAGAAAAAAGCCCGGAACCATAACTGGCCTATACATTACATCACTTTGGGCTAACCCATACTACTCAGGGACGCCAAACCGTGATGTCTCCGGTGCCAGCTTTGCAGCTGACCATAGCAGTAGTCAAAGCATGGAGATAATCAATGTGTGATTGTCTGTTGATTGTGTGGTGTGTATCTAAAACATTCTGACATGACATCTAGTGACATGTCATGACACTAAGCATAAGAAAATATTATGATTAAACACGTCATAATAATAAGACTAAACCTTCTGTGTCCTAGTAATCAACTTTCTATCTAGTTATCCTTGAATATGAACAACCTGGAGTACCCCATGGGAATGACTAAGCATTTAACAGCCTGAGCTAGACATCCTGTCTACACTAAACACTTCTAATACATGAAGTGTCTAACCAATGTCTATCTGACTAAAAATACCTAACACTGTTTATTTCTGGGTGTTTTGTCCTTTGGATGGACCAGTCCCTGCCGCAGGGTGTTCCCTGGTTTAAAGTTGACTGAGATATTGTGGTTGTGAAAGATCCTTTTTAACTTCTCTGATAAACCAGCCACATAAGGGATGACAATGTTATCCCCTCTTGTTTCTGGTTTCTCCCTGTTAGTGTTGGGCCTCTTCCTTGCTTTGGTGAAGGCCCACTTGGGTTAGCTGGACCAGGACGAGACCATGGTCTCATATGATGTCACATCTTTGTTCACTTGCATCCCCACCACAGAGGCTGTCAAGGCGGTGAAGAAGAGACTCCTGAAGGATGACACGCTGAACATGAGACCACCAAAGGCAGTTCAAGTTCAAAGACAGGTAACAACTTTCACCAATACTGGGCTACAATGACCCAGTCATTAGGTGACCTTCAAAGGACTGAGACACCACTAATGGGGATAAATACTGTATCTCTGGCTCAACACCAGTCAGGCGTGTTAGAAATTAATAAATCAGTCAGATAATTATTAGACTTTAATGTGTTAGACTTTAATGTGTTATTAATGCAGTTTAATAAGATTCAAAGTCTGCTCATGTGTGCTCTGCTTCAAAGAATGTTTTAGCTACACATCACGCATACAACATACACACACATGGAGTTCTTCATTTTGTTATGACTTGTGCTCGATGCATGCGGCGCATAAGATATGAGACGGAGACGTCGGACTGTGTCCAACTCTTGATGTTTTTACAGCCGTCTGTGTAAGGCGTTAGCCCAAAACCTTACAAATGTATTAGGCTCTGTGTTTCCGATGTCTCCTTTCTTCCAGCAGTAGTCTGGAGCAGGAGCCACCCGGGGTTGTGTTTCTGTAACTTTTTATTGTGGCTTTCAAAATAAATCAGCACTAAAATGAAGCAAGTCGGACTCATCTTCATTCAGATCTGTTCAATAAAAGAACTGGGGTATAACAGGCGGAACTGATGAAGCCTCTTGGATGAGAGGTGAAATGTCTTCGACCTAGAAATCTAGTCCAGTTGATTTTTTCTAAGCTTTTCAGCTTACTTGTAACAGAGTATTTTTACACTCTTATATTGCTACTTTTACTAAGGTAAACAATGAGTACCTCATACATAATTGCTGTTGTATTCTCCAGGGTTCTATGATACATTAGACCGATGGAGGCTACATGCATCGATCTGTATAGTTAGATTTTAGTTGGCCTGGAGCCACACTCATTAAAGGGAACATTCAAGTCGGTTTTACTTAGCCACTGCCAATACATAGATTTGGAGCACAGCTGTGGATGTGGCAGGAGAAACCGTGCCCGAAGCTTTCTCACCTGGCTGGAGAGATGCAGCCTCAGTTACTGCAGAAACCACTATCTTATCAGTGTTGTGGTGTATTTCTGTTGAAAATCAATAATGCGTAGCAAAAAGTACACATTTAATGATTTTCAACATTTTTAAGCTTGAGTGGGAAAGTGTAGGTGGACACAACAATAATGATACCGTCAGTGATGTACAAGCAAGATAACTGAGGACTTTTCTTTTCCAAAAGAGAAGAAAGGCATAGTCACAACACAACTGGCTTAAGCAGTTTGAGTTGAACCTAACATGCATGTAGGATAATGATGTATAAGATACTTGATAGTTACATAGATAGTGCAGTGGAAACGATCTCAACCTGTATCACCCACTCACTAAGGAAAAACTCCTTAGTGAGAGGGATTTTCCTTAGTGAGTGGGTGCTCACTAATACTATAAAGTATCATATACTATAAAGTATTCCTTTAAAAGGGAGGATTGACTGACAAATGATTACTGCACTGAAACTGTTAAAATATTGGAGGGGTTGCAAGGCTGTAATATCCTGAGTTATAGTGCCTGTGGTGGATTTGAAGAGCAGGTTGTGTTACAAATGTAATGTCTCCAAACCCCAACAACATTGTTAATGTATCAGACTTTAGACAGATCCTCTAAAGCGAAATATTAGACAACTATTCTCACAGGCTGAATAGCACTCCTCATGACCAGTAAATGGAGCCACAATGACACAAATTGAGAGAAATCAGACATCACAATCTTTATTGTTCATGTTGATGTGTCTGAATTTTCTGCAAGTTTCGACCTGTGAACATGGCTGATGTCCAGGTAGTACAATAAATATAGTTTTAACTGAGAGGGTACAAAGGTGTTGTCCATTCCATGTAAGAGTATTTACATGATTAAAGTTTTTCTACAGAACTGTTAACTGAACTAAACCATGGAGTTTACATGAGATCACTGTCTACTCAGTACTATAGGTAGTATACAACATTTGGATAACAGTCTGCATCATCTCTAACCATCTGTTTTGAGCAAAATTATGAATGATCCTTTTGTTTTTTCAGACTCACATTCATGTCATTGAGATTTGGGAATCCAGCAAAAGAATATTAGACACAAACTGTTATGAAGCCCCTTCCACTGGGTCTCATGGGTTCTTTAAAATGACATGTTTGATAAACTATGGGTGAAATGTCTAAAACAAAGTGTCTCAAAGTTGATCAAGGTAATACATGCCTAGAAACATTAGTTGCTGCTTTGGGAAATAGACTGTGTGGATTTCTAAAAGTATGAGACACAAGTTATACCCACTCAGGTAGTAGCACCATGTATAGCATTAAGGAGTGGAGGCATCCATTGTTTCAGTACAGACAGGTTTTTGGCCAAATCTCCTGTAAATTCTGGTTCCTCATCTAAACGTTTTTTATAAATACTTTCCATATGTTCAAATAAATGGCTACACTGCTTTAAATAATGTATGTAATCAGTCAGTCAGGTTACACATCACACTACAGTGAGCAGACTCCAAATGCTTGGGGGAGTTGTCGTTTGCACGTGCGCGCACACACACACACACACGCACTCAGTCGCTTTAGGACAGTACAACAGGTGTGGATTACATGTTCCATCCAAGTCCAATGTGTGTGGCCAGCAGGTAGCACATGGCAATCATACATGTCATTATCATCATGGGGAATCCTAACCTGTGACAAGGAAGAGAACAGCAGCCATGAATGAACATTTTATTCATGTTAAGAACATTTTATTTATCAAAGTAATAAGAAATAACTTCAACACATTATTTTACAGGTTGCTATTTTCTAATTATTTATTGAAAGGTTCCTGGAAATAACCATGTAGTTTGATATTAATTACAGAAAAACAGGGACAAAGTTCTAAGAGAGATTTTTTTCTTAGTTAGTCCACTGAGCGGTGCTGACTTTATTATTGGCTTCCGGATGAATTTTCATGAAACAAATTCTTCAAGGTAAACACCAGTTTGTGACGAACTGGGTGAGAACACTTCATTTGCTCAAAACTACTTTATGCACATTTCTAACTTCTTAACCATACCTGTTAAATGTTTGTTTAGCCATATTCCACCTTTAATGCAGAAGTATGCAACACTATCCCAGGTTTGTTTGTGTTAAGCATTATGTTGTGTTGCCGTTATCATTAATATCTTTAGTTAAAGTAAAACACATACAAGTATTGTTTAATTTGTGCTTAAATATTAGATAAAGAGTGGTGCAAGTTAATTTGTAGTTTTGGTTATACTCACCAAGGGGTGAGTAAAGGAAGAGGCACCCAACGACATTTTATACACTCTCTGACATCGTCAGTGACGTCATGGACGTGAAGCAAGTAGGGAGGTGGGGATTATTAGTATTAAGTGGGTTTCATGTGTTGATTAGTAATTTGTAAATTATATGGTTTAAGAATGGTAAGTATTTCTTGAAAGTCTGTGATTCCAGTTAAATGTGTAAAGTAACTTCAGAGAACTGGCTTGTGTGAAGACAAAGGTATTGATCCACCTGTGGCAGATGTGAAATGGTGTAGTCTGAGGGAGGGTTAACCAAGATGGTGGTGCTATTTAAGTAGTTGCTCAGAGGCAGCTGGAGGGTAAAGTTACTGTATGTGAGTGTAGTTGTGTGCATGTGTTGTTTATTTAAGTTGTGTTATTTTGAGTTGAGTTTTGTTCAGTTAGGTGAGGTTAACTATTTGGTGGTTTTAAGGATATTCTTTTGGTACACGTGTATCATGGTGGCACGCTTGTAAATAAATCATCTATTTGGAACCTGAAGATGTTTTTTGAGCATGCCTCCTACTATTTTTTGCCACTTTGGCCAGATGTACCACACAGATAATGTTTACTTTTATGAATTATTTGAAAATGTATTTTTCATTTATGCTGAATTGAATGGTTGTTCTCTCTTCTGAATGTGTTTGCTAGCTTAGCATTTAGAAATAACTGAAAGTGTGCAAATTGTGTCACTGTCAGGTTTGCCCAGCTGCACCTTCCTCTCTTCCCTTTCTCACGCTGGTTTTGCTCCCCTGATTACCCTATCTGACACACCTGCCCCACTTCCCCTGATTATCACCAGCTGCACCTTATTAGTTTTCTCCCTATTTATACCCTGCTCACCATTCACTCCCTTGCCAGTTCAATCCCTATTGTCAGGCCCCC